TAGAAGAATTTTTTTTGGAACAATTTAATTTTCGCTTCGAAAAAAAAGACTTTTATAGAAGCATTTGCTGTTTGTGTGGGTCAATTTAATGTCAAACTAAACTTTCAGGTGAACTTGTTTGCGCTGAGCCACTCTCTACCTAGACTTTTGTGCTGTCCTTTTATGCAGGACAGTTCCTCGCTCGGGAAAGTGTACCTAACTCTGCGGAAGTGCCGTACTAAGTGTGCGTTGTGTGACTACCTGTACTGTGTAAGTGAAGATGATGTCCCCATAAGATGGCGTTCGTACTTTCAAATGCTAATTGAAAAGTTCTGTTCGACTGTTACGACTAAATATAAACCCTCTTGTCCTTGCTCTTCCCTTGTCATGATTCTCTTTGCATCTAATCCAGTACTTTCCTCTTCTAAAATCGAACCCTTCATTCCCAGCAAGCATCCTACTTGCAAGTTTTCTCGCTCTTATGAAGCTGGATGCCCCAGCCGCCTTCTAGCACTTCACTCTCTGTTCCTCGCCTGTGCTAGGAATTGCAGCTCTAAATGCACGCATTATTGTTTAGTAGTCCGTTGCAATAGTTAGAGGACACATCGTGACAGTTACCCGTTACTTCCACAAGATAGATGTGAGGCGCAATTCACTGCCAACATGTACACATCATTCATCCGTTGATGCGACTGTTGCACACACACAAGCTCTTCGCTGACAATCTTTTTTGCTTTTCATTTGGTTGCTAAGTTCCCGTTATTCTTCCAAGAAATTTCAGTTTGCTTTTTACGAGCTGCCTTTTGCATTTTCGGCGACTCTTAGACTCTGCATAGGGATAAGCTCCAGCCTAAAATGAGTGGTTTGCTCGTCTTCGTGAATGAAGTGGAAAACCAGTCCTCTAAGATTTGTTGATTCACACCGACAGTAGACTGGTTTCGTACATGCCGGAGGGCTAGTACAACCATTAACTTGCTTTCAAAAAGGTATGGGACGAGGAAGTCACGCCAGCAATTGCTTGTTTGTTATTAGTATATTGTCAAATGGTCTATTTTGGAGTGCTATCGTCTTTTAAAAGAATGTAGTAGAGAGAAGTTCTGAATTTCGACTTTTTTGTAAAGCAGAATTCTAATTCCCCTGAAGGAGGAATAGCGACATGTAGCGATTTTGGCCTTTGTTAAAAGAGACCAGAAAATGCGTAGGATTGGGGAACGAGGCATGAAAAATCAGTGATAAGAACGTGAAAGCTCCTCAATGAGGCGTTATAAAATGGTATAATAGGGTAAGAGCCACTAGAAGCAGCGCAGGAAAGGCAAAAGACGACTTCTGTCTAGTTCACCAGAGAGCTACATTTGCAATAGCTTATTTAAAAGTGATGTCTGCTGATGAGGGTATTTCACTCCGTTGTTGTCACATTGTTTAGAAAATATTTATATGCTGTTGTTACTTGTTAAATTTCTGATTATATCGTTATTCTGTTTTCCGATTTGAAAACTAATTTGTACATCAAATTCTAATTTTTCTTTACCCTTCTTTCTATTATCCAAAAGTTATTCGATAAATATTGGAACTAATTTAACACAGCAACCGCTATACAGACGAGATTCAATCGTGGCATTCAGCAAAAATATGCATGACTTCGAGGACCGAAACATTCCTGTTCAGCTGATTAATTACATTTTAATGGTATTTTTTCTCTAATTTTAGCATAATACCTTTAAATATACTTTTAACCACTAGAATGAGGTGTAAATGGGTCTACCTGATTTGTGAAGAAACTGACTTCTCCACCGACTGATGCGTGATAAGTGGCGAGTGCGAGTAATCCAGTGCTCGGATGCCACTCCAGCAGTTCGTGCCTCAGTTCCCCGCTCAGCTTACTGTCCGCAGATGACAGCGTCTCTTCCACCACCAGCGACATCGCTTATCACACCTGTCACTCGTCCAATGACCAGTTGGTGCCTCACGCGCCGTAGCACTACTACGTGGCTCAACGTGCAAGCCTCATCCAGCATCAGCCGAGCTGCATTGCTGTTAACACCACATGCCCCAGTCTCGTTACTATGACTACGATGACCATAGTGGAACACAGAAATTTACATGCTCGCGGTCGGGATGCCTACAACACAGTGCGCTCAGGATGAACGTCAGGAGCCCTCTCCCGCTCTCTCATCCCCAGACTTCAATTCAGTGTGTCGGACTCGGAGTATTCCAGTTTTTTCCGTCTACCCACGCACTATGTTCGGCCTTGCT